AACCTCCAATGTGCAATGGAGAGAAGAATAGCAATTTATAATTCCTCCTTCCACAAATTTACAATCCATTGGTCGCGATGGTTAAACAACCCCAGATGCGTAATAACATGATTACTATCTGATATGAGTACAATACTTCCTACCCGTACTTCATTGGCGCTTTTCCTCCCCTCCCCCCTCTTCATGTTTTTTCTTACGTTCCTTTCCCCCCCTCAACCTCATGTTCTCCCCATCTTTACACCTCACTAGTTTTCTAGAATGGTTCACAACATATTGAGCATACCTCTCATGTAAATAAATTAAGGAAATATAGGTTCCCCGGCCACTAGGTGGGAACCTTCTCTTCTCTCTTAACTCTTATTTCCACATATTGTTTTTCCCAAATGTGAATCGAACAAGGTTGATCATCACATATTATTTTTTCTTTTTTCTTCTTTGTATGTTGAAATTTCAATAAAAATATTTGAATAAATATTTTGTATTTTCATATGCAACCAACAGGTAGCACTCTCATCTGCTTCTCTGCTGAACAAAGTTGAAGTTGGAGCTGCATCAGAGATGATGAAGACATTGAAGTTTGCGAGGGTCTACTGTACAGGACTGGCAACTTGCAAGTAGTAGGAAGCTGTCAGTCAAGGATCAGAAGAACTTGCTTCTCTCCACATACAAGTTAATAGCAATGCAAAAGCAACTTAAATCTGGTTGTAGCTGTATAGAAGGCGATCAATAGAAAGAAACATGGTCCATGAAGCCCCACTATCCAATGCGAATATGAAGAGGTACCACCGGTAACAATTAGGTAGGGTGTAACTAAAAAACAATATTGCACAACCAAGAAATAAAAAGGCATAGCCACCCAGTAGGCTATATCTACAAAAAAGTTTTGAGTTAAAACAATAACATTGTAACATGCATCGCAGGTGCATGGACCCCCACCTCACAGCTCATTCAGGATGTCCCCTCTATTCCCCACCACCCCAAACCACCCCAACAGAACCCACCTACCCCCAAAAAATGTGCAGCAACCCCTCCAAACCCCCCTGTCCATCCCCGTCCAAGGCAACCCCCTCCCAGGAGCTAGGGAACCCTCCCACCCCCCAAGAATCCCCCCCCCCAAGAGAGAAAGATGGAATATACCTCTAAAAACACTGCAAAGTTCCAACCAAGGCTATGAAGAGCCAACCATGGCCCATCCTAGTACCCACTGTGCATGGAACACCACGGGCTAACTACTAGGTAGGGATCCTGAATGTCTCCCTAGTCCCTGTGCAACACTCAGTCCTTGGAATATGCCATGATTCAATGTGAGCCAGTAATAATTAGACACAAGCAGGGGCGGACTGACAACTCATGGGACCCCCGGGCAATAGGGGATCATGGGGCCCCTGTGTTCTTGCCCAAACTCAAAAAAGCCTATGAAAAAGGTACCAGGGGCATCTCATGGGGCCCCTACTGACCTCGGGCCCTCGGGCAGTGCCTGAGTTTCCAAATGGTCAGTCCGCCCCTGGACACAAGTCCACTGTGAACTGCTATAAAAAATTATATGTGATCCAAATATAAGAGCAGATAGACTGTGGCCAAGCATAGTCCAGTGTGGAAACACTCTAAATCATGTAAATGATGGAATGGATCATCATGAGATCATGGATGGATGGGTAGGCTGCAGTGGCTTGAGGCTCTGAGCTGGATATGCGTGCAGCATGCGTCATAGGAAACAAAACTGTGGAATACATGCTCAGTGGCAGTCTATAGAATAGATGCAAAATGGAACAAATTAAACCAGTCCATAATGTGTATACACACAGTGAAACACAGTGACAATGAAAGCTGTTCCTATGCAAAGACCAACATGGGACCTGAGGGACTGATATCTCATGGTATGCCGAAGGTATGTATGCAGGTGATGCAGCAACCACTCAACAGTGTCCCCGACCCAGCCTGTGCTGTCACTACGCAGCTGATATGGCCTGGGGCACACTTTGGGGTTGCTCACTGTATACAATTCATGATCCAGCATCCAGATTGTCCACCACTGGATTACTCATGTGTGAAAGGTTCAGCTTGGTTGAAACTCTGCTGTTCAATGAGCTAGATGCTGCATGAGCCGGGAACCAGGGCACAGTGGAGATGCCGTTATGCTGCTCTGTATGGTCGGCTTGCCAGGGTGGCCATGCGGGGATGGGGGGGTTATCCTGATTCCTGTGAGATGGGTCCATGCACCTGCGATGCGTGTTACATTCCTATTGTTTTTATACAATTACATTTTTTGTAGAGGTAGCCTACTAGAAGGCGATTGAGTCAGAAAATCTTCAAGTGCAGGTCAAACACTCCTGTTAATGAATTTTGAAAGATCTCAAACAAAGTGCAAGCTACATTTGCTCTTTGACACAGTCCTTAAAGGTCCTTTCACAAGAGTGGTCTGATCAGATCTGCCTTTCAGTTCTTAAGGAGGATCTAATTGGAAGCTCAATGTCGGTCTATAGGCAGACAGATGGAAATAGACTGGCATCCATTTTCATTCCCTCACCTTCAAATCTTCAATAAAAAAAAATAAAAGCAAAAAGGACAAGGACATGACATAAACATTAAAGATCAAAGGTGATAGGATATGAATGGCCATCTGCCTGCCCACAGACCTAACATGGCTCAGTTTGCTCAGAGGCTACAGATTGGAAACCACTGTCTGAAAGAGTAGTTTATATGAAAATACACCTTCTTTAAACCTCCTGTGATTTTGTCAGGTCCACAGCCCACATATTTTCTTATAAAATGGGTGGAGGTATGTTTCTTGCATAAAGTAGCATTATCTGTCCACATGTCTGAATTCTGGTTCTGTTTAAGTGTTGGGAAATTTTGGATATGATATTATAGTCATGGAATGAGTCAACTTTATCAAAGTTGAATGGTCTGCAAACAATTAAAAGATCTGCAAATAATTGTTAATTATTGTTTTCAGATCTTTGTAAATAAGCAGATGAACCAGGAAGGTACAATCATATATATAAATAAAGGTGAGCCTTTAGTAAAACACAAGTTCTAGTCAAACTGCAATTCAGTTTACATACCTTATTTACATTTTAATTAACATGCAGTGATCTGTCATAGACTTTGAATAAAGTACAAACAATTCATTTTCTTTAAGAACATTCTAAAGACCCTTGTAACCAGATAAACAAATGAGAAAACTCATGGGTGTTAAACAGACTATAGTTCATTGAACCATTAATCATAGAATATCAGATTCTGGCAGTTACATCACTAATGTTATAGAAGTCAATGAGTTCAGCAGCTAAATACCTGAGATAAAATCCTAGTTACAGCAATGTATGTTCAATTGGGTCAAGGGTCACTGTTATGAGCTGAGTTAGGTCACCGAGAGTATTTTCATTATCACTTCAATTCCCCAAGGTCTTCCTTATTATCAGAAAGGGGATACCACAATATAAGTAAAGTACCCTGAAGATGACAAACGGCATATCACTGTTATTCTAGCCATCTGGTGATCTGTGAGTGATAAAACAATTAGCATAGAATTAAAGTACATCTTCCTTATTGTACTCTTAAGCAATACCACCACCCACCTGCTTGCCTTTAAGAGTGTCTCAAGGGGTGTAGAAGTGCTCATACTGTACCTTGTATCCTGCTGCTATAAATGAGACTGCTTGCAGACCTTTTGCTATGCTAGTCTTCCCTGGCTAGGCAGGCTGTCCCCTTCTGTTGACTGCAGGGTAGTGGAGAACCTTCTTTACAGAGTCTTTTCCTTCCTCCCTCAGCTCAGCCTGGAGTCAGAGCCTTCCTTCCCTGGGGTCTCCTCCAAGACCTCATGATCCTCAACACTCCATCTTCCACCTGATTACCAGACTCCCCTGCTGGCTAGGCTCTTTCATATTTATAGGCCCATCTCACCGCACTACCAGGGAGTTGGTCAAACTCCCATAAACATGCAGATCACCTCCTCTTTGTCTCCACACACTAGCTTCTAGAATCTTCTGAAAGCTTCTAGGAACCAGGGGGAGGCACCATACATCTAACCTGTAGAGCCCTCCAACCTGACCTGAAGTAAACCCAAAACAGTTCCCAATACTCATCACACTACTGTGAGCTATTAAATGTTCATAACTCTAACTGCACACTGGGGGGTGCTACATGTAATTTGAACAAATATCAGAGTTTCGTAATGGACAGCTATAACTTGATTCACTTCTGAGGTTGCTTGTCCATTTGTAGCAAACTTTATATATTGATCCTGTGATGCTAGTATACTATTACCAGTAGAGAAACAGCGGTTGGTTTTCCCATTTTTACGGATGGTTTTCTGTATAGCCAACATTGGGCATGGGCTATGTATGTCTTGGGCAGCACACAGTAAAACACATATTCTGTTGCTGGCTGCCAGAAACATTCTTGCAATAACTGCTAGGGCAATACAGCTGGGCCTTCACTGTTACTGACCATGCACAGCTTTTATATTTTTATTGGCTGAATAGGGTTCTGTGTAGTTACATTTTACCTCCTCCATATACCTAGAACTAAACTGTTAGCAAAGAGTGATGTCCTTTTTAGTTTGTCCTACTTTTTAGTCAACTGTCCATGCCAGGGGAGGACCTACCATTTGATTCTACATCTGCACAAGTGCCCTCTGAGGCCCATTTGTACTATCTATTTATACATAATAAATACATGCTGGAGTTTGGCCAGTAGTTGAATGGCATGCCCAAAACTTGTACTTTACTGGGGCCCCTTTGGTAACTGTTTTGGCACAGGCTCTAAGTATACTAATGTAGCACTACCCCCTTAGGGGTTGCTTAGTAATTTTTGGGTTCCCTGTCAATCTGGACCTCTCATTGAAAGCCCAACCTCTGCTGACACCACCGTGTTCTGGTGACCCAGATAAATCACACCTGTAAAATGGACTCAGAGTAGTATAAAACCAAAATGAAGTTTATATTGGTTTAAGATTAACCTCCCTAGCGGTATTCCCGAGTGTAGCTCGGGGTAAAATGTCTGTACCAAAAGCGGTAACCCCGAGCTACACTCGGGCTAACCATGCGGCGTTGCATGCAGCCCTTACCTTGTCCTTGGCTCCCACGATGTGTCCCCTGCAGCGTCCCCGGCCATCTCCTCCGGCCGATGCCAGCATCCGCCTCCTGTGTTCCGGTCCCTGTGACGTCGGGACATACGGGCGGCAGCGGCGGCGGGAAATTTGAAAATTTCAAAAAAATGTCATTTTTTTAAAAACGATTTTACATAGTAAAACATTATTAACTGTTTCAACCCATTTCGCATACATATTGTCCCTAGTGCTTTGTCCTGTCCCCTGTCTGCATTTTGACTGTTCTTTCTGCCTGGAAACTTAGAAAAGTCCATGGCGTCCAAAAAGCGTCCCTTTAGGTCAAAAGCGGGTCTAGATCAGCTAGAGAACAGCGATAGTAAATAAGAACCACTTGCAGAATTGAGTGATAATGATTCGTGGAGAAATTCGTCATCAGACACTGAAAACAATTTTGTGACTTTGCTCAGCGATGTGCGAACTTGGTGCTCTATTTCAAATTTCAGTGTTTTTGGTTTGATTATATTATTGAATTAAATGTATGATTTAGAATCTTGTTCAGACAGATTTCAGTGAGTTATTTCTAAAAAATTACAGCCTACAATAAAAAAACTACATATTTCCATGCAAAATAATGGTACCGCTTTCAGCACCAAAAATATGAAATAATCATACCACTAGGGAGGTTAACAAAATAAACACTGGTATTGGCAGCAAGTCTGATCACTCTTGGCAACTGTGAGCAAAAGGTAATGACATTCACAATAAAAACAAACAGTATCTGTTAGCAGGTCTGCTTTCACAAAATAATCCACTGCCTCCAGTCTGAGGGGACTGTTGAATCCCCAGTGAGAAGGAATGATTAAGCTCACTGTGGGTCCTCAGAACTAAAAAACAAGAATTCTCAGGTATAATTGGCAGTGTCCCCTTTAAGAGCTCTATAATGTTTTTCTGCACGCCTGTTGAGGCCCAATTGGTATGAAGTTGCATCAAGAGGTGGAAGATATCTCCTCAGGGTGGTCACATCAAAGACAGAGAGGGAAAAGGGGAAGATTCAACACTTTCATGGTTGATGGTAAAGAAGTAGTGCAAGGTTCTCTTTAAGGAAATGATGGGAGGGTGGCAGTTCTTCGTTCTGAGAGGATGTCATATAACATCCTTCCACTCTAACTGCGCATGCTTGCCCCCGGGAGCATGTGCCATGGCGAACAGTGTGCGCTGTGTCCCTGGGACACAGCGCAGCACCATCAGAGTAAAGAGCAGATGAAGTCGGCTCTGTCATGTGATCAGCTGTGTCCATTTTCACAGCTGATCGCATGTAAACAAGGAAATGCGGCTATCCTCATGATGACAGGAGAGCTGGTAAGCGGTGTGCTCCTATTCTTAGTGCTGCCTATCAGTGCTCGTTACAGTGCTGCCGCTAAGTTGCCAGAATCAGAGTTGCCGCATTACACAGTTTTCTAATCAGTGTCCATCTCAGTGCTACCCTATTACATATGCTCACTTATCTGTTATGAGTGCTGCCCTTCAGTTGCCGCCATAAGTGATGCCTGCCAATGCCTAGTAAGTGATGTCCTCTGTCATTGCCCATAAGTGAGCCACTTTCAGTGGAACACAATTATTCATTCTGACATTTTTGTAGTCTATTTTTATCTTCTAAGTAAATTGTCCTCAGTTTTGTTATTTCTGCATATTTTAGATTTGGCATCCCACATGGACCCCTTTTTTGTTTTACTCCCTATTTCAAGTTAAGTTTCCCTAATAATACTTAATCATTTTTTTCTGCATCAATAGTCCATTGGACTTAAAAAATTTTTAAAATTGTTGTAATGTGATAATACAAGTGGAAAAAAATGCATGTTGGAGTAAATAATATGCAGGAAACGAAGGGCCGGACCTAATAGCTTCAGCAGGCAACTATTAAGGGGGAGGGTAGCGCTAAATTTATATTTGGCGTTTAGAGTCCTAATTGTTATTCTACTGCTCATTCCTTATCTACCCTACAAAGACTATTACTGAGTTATTTATAAGCGATACAACTGAACTTTTAAAGACAGGAAATGTAAACTTCTGAGACATGTAAAGCTTCATGTACAGTTTTGAGGCTCAAAATATGCTGGATCGCAAAATCCCGAAATGTTTCCCCACATAGGGTACCCACAGTCAGCAATAGAAGTGAATGTGTGCTGCTGTACTCTTCTTCATGCTTTCATACATGTAAACACAAGAAATGTGGTGTGACATTTATTGAATGTGTAAATTTCTGCATTTGGGGAATCAGTTCATGTCCCCAAATGTGGCTGTGTACAGCCAAGTACTTCTATAGTCAGCTGTACATACCAACTGTGGCTCTTCCCACCAGGGATTTTATTCTATAACATTTTTAGGTCACAAATTGCCTATGTGCAGGAGAACTTTGTTTTCTTTATTTAGTATATCAATATTATATAAGACATGGGAAACAAATGTTCTTTTACTGATGTGCATGATAACATTGCCATAAAATTTGAAGATATCCAGATAATGATGTGAGCTATATGGTATTATTGATAAATTACTGATCCTTTGATTTCTCTTTGCACTTTGTGACTAACTCATTGGTAAGCACACCCATCTAGACTGAGCTTGTTAAAGGTTCCTAGCTGTGTATCATCACCCTGGAGACCAATAACCCACTTAGAGTATGCAGGGAAATTCAAAGCCATGGATGTACCAGTTCCTTCTGCAAAAGTAAAATGCCAATTCAAGCAAAGGTACAGTATTAAGGTAAATTTAAATGTGATCACAATAATCTCATATAAATTTTAACATGTTAATTATGTTTTCACAACTTGCCTTTAATCCTTTGAAATCTGAAGCTTTCATTAAAGTGATTCTAAAGCTTAATCTTAGGTATTTTTTTTTAAATAAGAAACATGTCTTGCTTACTTGCTCTGTGCAATAATATTGCACAAAGCAGCCCCAATTCTCCTTTTCTGGTGTCCTGTAATGCTCCTGTCTCCTCCTCTTCGACGAGTGCCACCATAGGGGCTTCTTGTGTAGGATTGATCCTGAGCTGTGCTGTCTGCATCCATAGACATAGACAGTGCAGCTTGGTCCTGCTCCATTTGTCACATGATTTGATTGACAGCAGCAGGTGCCAATGACTCCCACTGCTGCCTCCATGTTCTGTGATGAAAGGGCTGCAGCTCTCGTGCAGTGTTGGATCAAGACTGGGCTCAGGTAAGTATAACAGTGGGCCGGGGGGATCCAATAACAAAAAATTTTTTAGGTAAAAAAAAAAAAACAACTTATTAAACCTAAATAATTAAAAACTAGCAATAAATGTTATATCACATGCGTTTCATACTCAGTTAAATGGGATTAATTTTCTGTATTCTGCAAAAAAAAAACTGGTTGATTCTGCTGTTCTCTTTCTCCCCCTCCTGTCCATATCCCCACTGCAGTTGGAAATTTTGAAGAGCAGTGTTGGCAGCTAGTGCACATGCTCAGTTTTCAGTGTATTTATATTCTGAACATTTTCTTCTTTTTCACATCTGAGAAGCTCATGTGAATATAAAGTCACACATGTGACTGTATACACAGTGGTAAAATGACAGCCCGCTCCCCCTCCCTCCTCCTCCATGCCCACTAACCAGCTAAACACAATGGGGGTGGGATATTATATCTTGTATTGATGGAGGCTTATCTTCCTGTTAGTCTAAGATACAGGCTTGAAGGGCGTGACAACGCCTGTGACAGGCAGAAATCCACCAACACCATGTTATCACCAAAAAATAATACATTTCAAAGATATATTTGTATGATAATTTAAAATAGTTTATTGATATTTATTATTTATTTTTATTTGGTAATTCCAAAGGCTGTTACTTTGATCATGCGACCAGTAGCAGAGGACAAAAAACTCCTCCTACAACTGTTTCTCTACAGACAGGCTGGGAAAGAGCAGGGTCATGTGACAGCTGTATATTGATTAGAAAAAAAGGTACTTAGATTTTTTAATAATAATAATTAAATAATTACAGTGCCATCATCCACATACAGAAAGATAAAGAATAATGTTAGATAGGGTCATGTGTGTTTAGTATCACTTTAAGCCTTTAGAACCACTTTAAAACAATACCTAGTGATAATGCTGTAAAGGTCTTTCTTTAAGTACTTCCTGGTATATGATGATAATTATCTTCTATTTGCTCTCCTACATTGGCACCCTTCCACATGTGCTCCCAATAGAGAGTACAAGCGCTGCGTTAAGGCATGTTGGGTGGGCACATTTGGGCCGTTGTAACCATTGCAAAGCCTGCCTTAAACAACATTGTTTATCAATGCTGAAGCACTTATACATAGAGAGAATGTGGCTGAAAAAGGCTGGAGGAGACCAGCAGTAATGTAAAAAAAAAGGTGAAAACAGTATTTTATTAATAATTTTAAAAAAGCAGAGCAATTATTTATGATATACAGTACTGTAGTGATTAACACTTCTTTCCCCCTCTAGAGCATGTTCCAGCATTATTATTTTTACCTTGTTCCAGTAGTGAGAAACAACTACTTTACACCCTTTGACATCATTATCAAGCTTGTGAAATGTGGTACAGGGGGGGAGTTTTTTTTCTAAAGTACGCATACCACCAGAACTACATCTACCAAGAGCTCTTTCCCTAAACATGGTATGTGGAAAGCCTCTTGGGAGTCAAGGAAACAGCATTGTTATGTGTGCAAGAAATCAATGCATGCATGTGGGGATGGACAGAGAGACAGAGATTAGTGGAGTTCTGTAGTCCAGCAGGCAGGACTAACAACATGTTTTAGATATTAGCACAGAAAAGGCACTGTGTTGTCAGCCCAAACAAGAAATTAGGAGCACGCTGCATTTCTGCCAAATCAAGAGTTATTTTTCTGTCCCTGCAGTATCTTTAAAGTGGATCTTCACCTGCCCCCCCCCCCCCATTTATGTATTTGTTTTTTACCCTTTCTTACCAGGTGGTGTGGTGTGCATATTTCAGATACTCATCCACCCAGAGGATCCAGCATTGTCCCGCTGAGAACCTCTTGTCTGCTGCCACCGCTCGGGACCAAGCTGTTATGTTGCTTGTGACGCCATCAAGAGGCCTGCTGGCCATTTCAGGTTCAGCTAGCATGCTTCCCTATGATGCTGCGCTAGCTATGTCCTCTCATCCTTTCTGAATGAAGGGCTATGCCTCCTGGGATATGTGACATGCATATCCCAGGAGGCACAGCAAGTATTGTACAAGTCATTTGCATGGGCGATAAATGTGCATGGGGGGCAGGGCAAC